ATACCTCAAACTTTTCACATCACCAACAAAAAAAAAAATCTGTTTTTTCCCCCAAATACATTATTGGGGGTGAGGGTCTACAAAACAAAAGAATTGTAACTTGAAAACAACTCCATTATGATGAAAGCTAAACATATCTTCCTCCTCTTCCTCCTCCTCCAAGGATATGACAAAAAGGAGCATCAACCCTTTTGCCAACTCTGATGCCTTCGCACAAGATTAGATTAACACCACCATTAAGAGGGTATATGCATACAGAATATATATGAATATTTGTTTCTTTGTTAAATTTATTGGCTGCCTAATTCCAGTGGACACCAGTTATTTGTCTTATATTGAGAAATACCTCTTTCTGGTGGCCACATGAACCAGCATATACCTCTTTCTAATGGCCTCCACATATTTTGGACTATATTTCCCATAAACACTTGCCATTTGTTAAATTGAAGGAAGCTGACTGGAATTGTAATCTAAAATTTCTGGGAGGTATCAGGTGGCTATCCCTGGCTTATTTTCATCTGTTTATCAAACAGTTTTAGATATAAATAATTTAACCAGGGGGAGGGGGTGTAATCTAGCACCTTCTTCACTTACCATATGTAATTTAAGAAAATTAAACACAAGAATTCAGCTTATGGACCACTTAATGATCTCATTTGGTTCTATATTTACTATATATATTTACACTGTATTACTTACTACTTTGGAAACAGAAATTAGGCCATCTTCCTATGTCTTTTATTAACTTTGAAAGTGGGATTTCAAAATCTGAGAAGAAAAAAACTCTCCTTGTGCCTGTTCTGACCCCATCAACGATCAGCCTAGCTCACAACACTTTGTATTTTTAAAACTAGCAGGTTGTATGTATGTAAAGGTATTTTAAGTAATACCACAGTTACTTTGATTTAACCTTTTGCATATATTCAGCATTACAGCTCTCAAATTTTCTGCAATTCAGATATGAAATCAATTATTCAATATCTAAAAACCATCATTATATCATATTAATTACATATTGCTTTGATAATATGATTGGCTCTAAAAAGTAGGATTCTCTTAAACATCTCTTGGCTAAAAAATAATTTTTCAGTGTTCCTTCCCCTCCCCGCTCTTTTCGAGTGAGACTTTGGGCTGTTTGGGGAAGTAATATATTCATTTCTGAACTGTGATATATGTGTGGTGAATGCTCAGCTTTTGGTAACTGTAGGACATACCCATGTAGGGTTTTTTGTTTTTGGCAACAGAAAAAAAAATGCTGCTCTTCTTTTGGTTGGTTGATTGGTTTTGTCTTCCCAGTCGCCCCACAACAGTGAAATTCCCTTTGGGTCTTCTATCGAAGAACAAGCCAGACCTCACAATGCTTAGCTTCTAAGCCTAGATAAGGACAGACATATACTGCCACCTGCTGAGGCTTCCCATGAAAAGGAGTAATAGAGAGAAAAAATAAACAGAGCAAAGAAAGAAAGTGAAAAAATAAAGTGAAAAAGAAAAGAAATATTTAAAGAAGTGATTTCTGATCTGCATCACAAGTATAAAAAACTTTCAAGTCTTTACTCCCTGTAGGCTGTGGGTGAAATATCTTTTTTCCCCACAACCTTATGCAGATCCATAAATCATCAACTTTTCAGGCCTGGTGTCAGCATGAAGTCCATGAGTACCAGAGCATGTCTGACTTTAACCTTTAAGCAAACCATCATTTTTGGAATATTCATCATTCTCTTTGACTGCAGAGGAAACAAATTTGTATTAGAAATGTTGAAGATAAACATCCAGATTCCAATTAAATGCCAATAAATTGAGCAGCCTCAAGGCACTTGTTTTGCCCTTTGAAGTCTCCTCATCTGCTGCATTCACATAAATATGGCAATCCTGGATTTCATTAGTTTAGCAATAATGTTCCCTGAGACCTTAAGAGAGTGAGTATAGCATCTGGCCACAGGCAAACTACTGTACTATCTTCTGGTTTGTGACTTAGAATAATATATGGATCCAGCCAATTGTGACTTATTGAACCAAAAAACTATAATGTGTTGCTCCCAGCAACGTTTGAGTTCAGCCTGAAAATTAAAATACAGTTCATGCAGGAAGGTGGTGACAATATTTCTAAGTAGCATTGAGTGGAAATGGACTTGGAAATGGACTCACCAGATGAATCCTATGTGATAAGAGGATACCAAGCCACAAGCTTTTTTGTACTTTTTCCCCCTCCAATACAAAATATTATTTTTCTTGTCCTTCGTTCTTTGCATGCTTTATCATTCTTTTCAAATTTATTTTGGTGCTGTTTTTGAACCCACTGTACTACTGTAATGTGGTAAAGGCTGCTATTGTAATACATCACTCAACTGCATCCCAACTGGACAGATTCAGAGAAGTGCCTCAGGTCTAAGGGTGAAGGAAGTTTGTTTGTTTGTTTGTTTATTTATTTATTTATTTATTTATTTATTTATTTAAAAAAAATTTATACCACCCCCTCTCCCAAAGGACTCGGGGTGGTGAACAGCCAAAATTTAAAAACGTGCAATATAAACATTAAAATAGTATAAAACAAAATTAAATTTATCTTTGGCTTCCCTCAATTTAAAAACCCCTTACCCATAAAATGCACCAATTAAATTTTATTTATTTATTTATTTATTTTATTTTATTTATTTAAGTTAAGATCAGGGTGCCTGAAATAGGAATATATGCAGAGATCATGCAGTCATATTGGGTGTAGTGCTGATAAAGCTAGGTAGATTTACAGTATCCTCAGTGGACGTATGCAATGAAGATTCTCAGTCATCCAGGTAGAGTTGTCTGGAAGTTAACTCAACTTCCAGTATCGTCAGTGGATTATTTTTTTTTTACTCTATTTTCCAATCATATTCCTTTTTATTAGAATGGTGCCATGTTGTACAGTACAGTTATCATAGTTATCTTTACTTTGAGAACGTGCAGGACATTTTTGATTTGGCAATTAAAAATAATTTGATCTAAAATTATTTTTTGTAAATCTCATTAAAAGAGTTGCAACAGCTATTGGTTCTGCCGCTGATCTGAAACCAGTCTGTCTTCTGCGCCTTTTAGGCAACATAAAAACTAAATATTGTCCCAATCAAAGCAATGTTTGCATGTTGTTCTGTAATTTGACTTCAAAAATGCTGAACAGAACCTATTGTCTAATGATGCAAAGAACGTAATATTAACATTTTAGGTTACTCTCCACCACCTTAGGTTACTCTCTCCACCTAGGTTCCTTCAAAACCCTAGAAGCTAATTTTGGCATGGCATAAACAGCATGAAAAATATTTATGATCCAGAGTTCCTGTTGGTATGCCTACAAGCACTTCCCTTTGTGTTTCCCTGCCCTGGAGGATTGTTTAAATTTTTCAGAGGCCAGCATGTGGCAAACCATAACATCAATCTTTCACAAGTCTCAGCCTTTCAGAGTATCCAGACAAGAGGCATTATACCATGAGCACTAAGATTACCTTTATTGTAAAGTTAATGTAACAGTGACTTTCAAATCTAAAAGCACTTTTCTTCTTCATTTTTATGTTCAGAAAATTAGGGAAGATCCCTTTTGAAACACTTCCCATGTTCGTTTTCCTTCTGTTGGCTGAGATATCTTCAGCATGATAACTGCCTACTAGCTTTTCCTCCTGTCTCAAGGTCATTTTCACATATCGTCACAAAATTATCCTTATTGCCAGGTCTCTAAATGGGCCCACATAAGCCTTCTTAGAAAGTGAACATGAAGAGCTAGAGGCCAGTGCTTTGGAAATATGTTCAGTCTGCCCAGAAATGGACTAAAGGAAACACGGATTTAAGAAACATGTGAGAAACAAGGACTTCAGCAGTAGCATTCTAATAAGTAGTTCCTTTGTTACTAGAGGGGACGCGGTGGCTCAGTGGCTAAGACGATGAACTTGTCGATTGAAAGGTCGTCAGTTCAGCGGTTCAAATCCCTAGCGCCACGTAACCAGGTGAGCTCCCATTACTTGTCCCAGCTTCTGCCAATCTAGCAGTTCGAAAGCACGTAAAAAATGCAAGTAGAAAAATAGGGAACACCTTTGGTAGGAAGGTAACAGTGTTCCATGCGCCTTTGGCATTTAGTCATGCTGGCCACATGACATGGAGACATCTTTGGACAGCGCTGGCTCTTCGGCTTTGAAACGGAGATGAGCACTGCCCCCGAGAGTCAGGAACAACTAGCACATATGTGCAAGGGGAACTTTTACCTTTACCTTTACCTTGTTACTAGAATGTTCCTCATGACAAGGAATCTATGAATGAGCATATCATTTTTCAGCTTTTTTTTTTTGCACGGTCCCAACATATTCTTAAAATTCCACATTTGCCTACTGGTCCCCAAAGATTCAGGATATCTTTGCCTACTGGTCCCCAAAGATAAGGCATACGTATATAAAAATAGACAGGATTATTTTTCTTCTTGTACCTAGAGAGATTTAAACCCTATGGATATCTGCATGTATTTCTGTGCTCTTTCTTTATCTTTCCATTTTGAGCCTTCTTTTCATTAATTCCACAATTTGTACCAAATTCCAGACTGTGCAATAAATCTTATTTTAGGTCTGTCTTCACAGCTTTGAGAATAATATTCTTTGCGTCCCTTGTACAGCTGGCTGAATATCAGGAAAAGAGTTGTCATGTGTATGTTTGTGACTTTTCTCTAGGCTTCTCCAAATGTTGGTCCTGTTTCTTACTCTCCAACAAGAGAAGGAAAGCTCCTAATTATGCATGCAATTAGACTCATCCCCCAGGACGTTGTGTTCTCTTGTATAATGTCCCTCAGGTTCAGCCCTCTGGAGTTGCACATATAAGCAGGAGTGGAATATTTGGTCTGACACTCCTTTTGAAAATTACTCCATGATAGTTTTGAGGTGAGGAATAAGGCAAGTAGATCTCTCCCACCTATTTGCCTGAAAAGGAAATCCTGGATCCTTCTAAGAAAGGAGGAGGAGGAACCACACCCAGCTCCAACTGTCTACTGAGGCATGAACCTTCTGTTCCACCTCTTCTTTTTCATCCATGCGCCCCCTGTTTACCCAACGGATCAGAAGGCTTTGGAGGATTATGTGAACCTTCCTGACCTTCATTACAGTTACACCCTTGTGTCTAAAAAGAAGCATTGTGACTCCAGTGTCTATACCATCAATATGACCTCACTGAAGTGGTTGGATGGTAAGTAGCCCTCTGGAAGTGGTGACTTGGGACTTGTTTGGTTGTTGCTCGTGGTGGAGAGGAAACGTAACTCTTCTCAAGGAAGAAATGTATTAAAAAGGCAGGAGATGCTTTCTGATAAGTTGGTAAAATTTTCCTTCTTCATAAAATGTGATAGGAAATAGTTGCCTCTCAAATCCTCTTTTCTATTATATCCCACCTGTAGTTTGAATATAGATTCTTGCTTTACTTACCTAAATCTGTCTAGAAGTGAAAGATAGAATAGCCGCACAATACTATTGTCATTGGAAGCACCAGGAGAAATTCAGCTGGAACCACCTACCAGCTTTCTAAAAGTTATGGTAACATGATGATCCTGTGCTGATCATCAAAAGACTCATATTCCTTTGATTTGTTTCCAGTGATTGGAACAAAGAATAACTGAGTTATAGCGCTTTTTGAAGAAACACAGTGAATTTTACTTATAATAAAATTGTATAAATAGTACTAAACTTGACCTAGAGGAACACTTTCCAGAATAAATAATTTGTGGGTGGCCAACAAATTCAGCAAAGACGTTATTTAATTATGTATGTCTTCCCACCAACTCTCCTGCCAGTCATCCCATATCTTGGGGATGTTATGTTGAGTTAATACAAATTGTCAATTCAAAAGCAATACTTCAAGCCTTTCTAGCAGAAGGGGGATTTAGGGGCCATTTCACTCCTTCAATAAGTGAAAATATTTTACTTCCTGTTTTTAACTTTTTATTTCACTGTGAAGAATAACTATACAGATCTACAATCAGATTTACACAACTATTATTTTATGCAACTGTAACTATAAAGCTCTATGAACAAGAATCTTGTTATCTGGCATTTGTTCAGTGTCTCTCTCACCCATGTGAACTGCTTCCTTAAAGGGCAACGCATTTTCAGCCAGAGAATATATGTTCTTTCAAGTACTTCCAGCCTTTCCCTTAGTAAGGTTGTTCAGCCACAGTGGCCTTGCGCATCAGTCTCATTTCTGATGGCTTACCCTCTCTTGAACCAGCTAGAATCCTTGCAGATCGAAATGCAGGTTGGGCTGTTCATAGACTCTGCCAGTCTTGATTCTCTGCACCAACCATCACAAACTGGACACCTCTTACTCTTTTGGCTGCAGTCCTCTTTCCACCAGACTCATGGGACGCAGCTCTTTACAGGTAGGGTTAGGGTTAGCGCACCCTCCACATGGGTTAGGTAGGGCTGATCATCTCCCCTGAACTTAGCTGCAAGCAGGCATAACAGCTGGGCATAGAGCAGGGTGGAGAGAAAAGTCTGGCATGTTCTCATATTACTTTTTCCTCCCAAGTAATCTTTTGGTTAGTTGCTTCCCTAAATGGGACAATTTGTTCCTTATTTCCCTTTTGTCTTCTTAAGCTGGCTCATGAGTAACCACTCTCTTCCTTTACATTTTTGCCTCTTTCCTCTCTTATTCTTGAGTAAACTTTCTCCCTCATGGCTCAAGGTTGACTCAGCCTTCCATCCTTCCAAGGTCAGTAAAATGAGGACCCAGATTGTTGCTGGGAGCAATACCGTGTTTCCCCAAAAATAAGACCCTGTCTTATATTTTTTTGAACCCTGAAATAAGTGCTTGGCCTTATTGCCATGCGCTCAAAAGCCCGATTGGGCTTATTATCAGGGGATGTCTTATTTTGGAGGAAACAGGATATGCTGCCTGTAAACTGCTTAGAGAGGGCTTTAAAGCACAATGAAGCGGTATATGTTGTGGCTCCGTTGCCTGAGCCTGGGCTATCGACAGGTGCAGACTCTGAGAGTGAGGGGGAGGAGTTGGCAAGGCCTCCCTCTCCAGGACCCTCCTCTCTGGCAATGCCTCCGGAGGACATTGAAGGCCAAATGATAGGCTCAGAGCCAAGCATGTCCCGCAGCCACAGGTGGACAGCAACGAGGAAGATAAGTGCTGGCTGGACCCTCAACAGAGGCGCAGGGAGAAGCGTGCACAGCAGAAGGGAAGGCGTGCCAGAGATTAGCTGAGTCACTGGACCACACCCCACAGGGTATAAATGTGGGTGTGGTGGCCGGTTCAGTTTGTGACGAGCAAAAACTGGAAATACTCCATGATCTCTGCGTTACTGGACTTTGCCTGCTTTATCAGACTGCATTTGGACTAATCCTTGTATTATTGACACTCTGCCTGTTTTATCGGAATGCTGCAGTCTAATCTTTGTTTTGTGTGAGTAAAGTCTGAATTGGCAGCTAGCCACTGGGTTGCTGCCAGGTTTATCATCAAAGAGTTTTGTCGTGTGGCTTATTAACTCTGGGCCGTCTGTGGGTGTGTGTGCATGGTACGGGGACAGAACAGTATATAAGTCTGTTATTGCTATTGTAAATCTGTGTTTTCATTTGTATCTCCTTTGATTACCTAAGCCATCCAGTTACTTATCTTTTTCCTGGCCATTTCTTGCACTCTTGGTCCCTTTGAATCAAGCCTGCTAGTAATGAGTCCCCATCACAACCTCACACTTTTATATTTTTTATAAATTATCAATTTCTTCCATTTGTTACCTTATCCTGATTACCTCTCAGGCTCCCATTGATCTTTCCAGAAGTCACCCATCTCACCCTGTGATATAATTACCTTATCTATTCATCTTTAGATCCTGTTTCCTACATCCTGCAAATTTTGAGTCCTTGTCACACTCAGTTTCTTTACCCTCAGATTATTCTCTTCCTTCTCATAGCAGACCTCTGTCATATGATTGAGTACAGGCAATCCTTGATTTACGACCACAACTGAGCCCAAAATTTCTGTTGCTAAGTGAGACAGTTATTGAGTTTTACATTTGATGATCTTTCTTGCCATACTAGCTAAGTGAATCACTGCAGTTGTTAAGTTAGTAACATGGATGTTAAGTGAATCGGACTCCTCCATTGACTTTGCTTGTCAGAAGGTCGCAAAAGGTGATCACATGAACAACCCAGACACTGCAACTGTTATAAACATGAACCAGTTGCAGCCATCCAAATTTTGATCACGTGACCATGGAGATGGTGCAACTGTGAAAAATGGTCGTAAATCACTTTTTTCAGTGCCGTTGTAATTTCAAACCAGACGCTGTTTTAGGATCTCTTTCCAGAGCACGATACCATAGTCTTTTGAGACTGAAGGTTGCCAATGATGAATGAATGTAACTTCAAACAGTCACTAAATGAATGGTTGTAAGTTGATGACTACCTGAAACTGTCTGGCAGAGGCATGGGATAATGCCATGGGGCACATCTTTCTGCTTATTGAAGCATGGGAGGAATGTATATTAGTGTGGTTGTCTGGTGGAATCCTGAAAGAAGGATCTGGAGTAGCTCTCTCTTTCTTCACTCAGATGTATTTCACTTCATTACTAAAAATGTATTAATCACTCTATAGCTTATGGTTTTCTTGGGGATAATCAGCTAAAATAAATGAAATCCATATACCAATGCAATGTGATAGCATAAGTAGTAAAATGAAACAACAGTGGAGCGCAGCAAAAATAGTTCCTGGATTCAGTAGATCAAATACATATTTTCCTTATGTGGGAGCACATAAGAATGTTGTAGGCTATTGTACATTCTGGGCACTGTACAAAATCATAAAAACTTGAACTAAAATAATCTTAAAAGAAACACAAATCAAACAAAACAGCCCCCTCCTCCATATAAAATACATTAATCCCAGGCCTGAGATCAAAAGCAAGTGTCACTTCTGGCATTTCCTCTCCTTGAGCTCTTTGGAAATTCAAGGAGCATCCTGGGATTGGCACACAGAGAGAGGCCACATAGGAGCAATCTGGTCCAAGGCCTTAGTCACATGCCTATTAGAGGCTATAGCCAATGACTTAGCCCAACTGCTTGATAGGTCTGGTCCCATGCTGTCTCTGGAAATCAACAGGGTCCATCAGTTGCCTGGGTAAGATGAATTTAACAGGCTCTTTTGTCCCACAGAGATGGATGGTCCCAGGAGATGGATGGTCCCAGCAAATGCTTTATTGATGTGATAATGTATCGTTGTTGGAGTTTGTGTCTGGATGCATTGGTGTGGGGCTTGGGAGTCCTATCTTGACTATATCTATCTTTTCATCCCCAGATTCTGAAGTGGATAAAACAATCTGGTGGCATATGGTGACCATTGCTGTGCCCAAAGTATATAAGAATGCACAGATGAAGAAGTCATGTTTCCTTTTGCTTGCTGGTGGAAGAAATGACAATCCAGAAGAACCTGCTGAATACTCTGCTGCTCAGATTAGAACTCTAGCAGTCACAACTGGATCGTACGTAAACTTTTCCTTAAGGAGGGGTAATGATAGTTCAACAACTTCTTAGGAAAAGTCCTCAATGGTTTCCATAGGAATCAGGAGCCGTGGTGGCATAATAGTTAGAATACAGTATTGCAGGCTAATTTTGCTGACTGCCAGTAGTTTGATCCTCACCAGCTCAAGGTTGACTAGCCTTCCATCCTTTTGAGGCCGATAAAAATGAAGACCCAGATTGTTGCTGACTCTGTAAACATTTAGAGAGGCTGTAAAGCATTGTGAAGCAGTATATAAGTCTGAGTACTATTGATATCACCTTACAGGAATTAGGAACCTGAAGGCAGGAAGATGTGTTGTAGAAAGCAACAACTGAATGTGTATCAACTGTACATCCAGAGGTGGTATTCAGCCGGTTCGGACCAGTTTGCCCTAACCGGTAGTGGAAATCCCACCCGCCCCGGTTCTATGCCATCCTATTTAGGCACATTTTTGAAGCCAGGCGCCAGCAAAGCACATGCGCGGAAGGCCAGGCGCATGCATGAATGGGGCGCATACTCACATTTGCAAACCGGTAAGGAAAGTAAGTGACTACCACCCCTGTGTACATCTACTATATCTCTAGTTATTTTTACATTTTCTTTATCTCATATAAGATTAGGATTTAAAACCTAATAATAAACAATAGAGGGAGGAAAATGGAATAGAAGTAGGATTAAACAGGGATGTAACTCCACCTTCCTAGATTAAGAACTAATAAAGTAGGAGATTGACTGTTATTGGTACTTAACTTGGACTTCTTGAATACACTTTTCCAGAAGTTTTGATCACAGCATTTCCTCCAAATCCCTGTTTCTTTATTTCATCCGATCAACCTATTGGTCCATCATATGTCTTTTTGTAGATTCTCCTGTGACTCTCCGAAAGACCATATAAAGGAATTAAGATAGATGGCTGAGCACAAAGGCTCCAGAAGGTAGTTTGAAATATTAAGGGCAGCAAAGGAGAAAGAACATTAATCTTCTGAGGGAGGAAAAGGTCTTTGAAAGCTGGCAGAGGAAGAAGCGGAACAGCAATAACTGCAAACTTTATCAGAACAAAAAGCAAAGCAATCAGAGGGGGTAAGACTGAAGGAGGAGTTCAGCTATTTGCATAATCATGATTTAGAGTATCATCATATATTGCTCTGAAAATATAAAACATCTCTTCATTGCTGTTATATGAGCGTATTGGTGTCTGGAGATGCTTGAAGGTGCTATAAATCACTACTGTGGAAATAATTTGGGGGTGGGGAAGGAAACAGGGGTGGGTTCTACTTACCTTTACTACCGGTTTGCAACGGGACCGCACATGCATGCATGCACACATGCAGAGAAGCTTCTGTGAATGCGCAGTTCACCAATGATGATGTTGTGGTGGGTAGGCAGAGCCTCCCGCCAGTTTTACTACCTGTTCTATAGAACCTGACCAAACCGGGAGCAACCCACCACTGGAAGGAAAGCCAAGCAAAGAGAACAGAGTAGGTACCCCAAAGTGCACTTACTTCTGGTAACATCAAACGGAAATACTTATTCTGTTACCCTTGTAACTATCGTTTGGGGTAAATTGGCTAGTGACCTTCCTAACTGAGTTAGATTTGAACTTTGACATCTCGAGTCATTATTTAATTTCATATCATATTGACTCACAATGTTACCGAAGACACTTTCTCACTAGTTGCATTAAAACAAATATCCTGTTGTTTTTTGGGGAGCCAGGTTGTGTCTCTGTGTGTCTCTGTGTGTGTTTGGCTTAGTGCAGTGATGGCTAACTTTTTCCGGACCGAGTGTCCAAAACATACACACACGAATGCGCACGTGCACACCCGAACACCCAAAATGCAATATGTGCGGCCCCCGCACATACACGCGGCCCAGTGATGGGTTAATACCAGTTCGCCCCAGATTGGGCAAACTGGTAGCCGTGGAGGGAGGCTTCGCTCACCTGCTGAGATGCTTCTGCAGATGCGCAGAAGCGTTGCACGCAAGCACGCGAGCGCCCATGAGCAAACCGGTAGCGATGGGATTTGAAACCCACTACTGGTGTGGCCTCCACATGCAACCCCATTCATGTGCGCCCACGCATGTGCTCCATCCCTGCATGCACCCCCCTGCACACACGCACCCCACGCATGTGTGGCAGAGACCTGATGACTAGCTTGCCAGCGGGAGGCATGCGCGCATGCATGGCAGAGCTGAACTGGGGCGATGGCTCGTGTGCCCACAGAGAGAGTGCTGTGTGCCACCTGTGGCACGCATGCCATAGGTTCACCATCACGGGCTTGGTGTCTTAGCAAATAGTAGAATTATTCAATAAATCATGGTGTAGGCTAATGCGTGAAATAACTCTCTCTCATGCTCACATCAACATTCATGTCATTTGGAAAAAGAGACAGTTCTGTTCTATAAAAGACATTCTTCCTCATACTAACTTTAGTATAATGCCATCTGTAAATGTAACTTGAAAATGAGACAAGTCTAACACAGTGGTGAAATAAAAAAATTTCCCCTACCGGTTCTGTCGGCGTGGCTTGTTGGGGGGAGGTCATGTGACTGGGTGGGCATAGCCAACTCAACATCACTCACATCGAGGGGCTCCTCACCGGCCCCTAACCCCTCCCCTCCCAGCCTGTGAATGGCAGGAAAATGGAGAAGGGAATATTCCTGCCTACCATCCTTCCCTCGGTCTGTGCTGAGATTGAGGAATGGATGACAGGCAGGAAAATCCCCTTCTCCATTTTCTTGCATTTCACAGAAACGGCTCCATTCCAGCTGCTCCCCCTGTCTCCATCCCTCCTGGGCACTACCTTAAAAGGTACAGGCTGCAGCAGCTCCGTTCTGAATGGAGGGAGAAAAGTTAGGATTCTCTCTGCTGCATTTGAATTCTGTGGAATATTGAACAGCCGGAAGAAATGAGCGGCAACCAGCCAGGCATGGGTGGGGCCAGTGAGGGGTGATTACTATCAGTTCGGCGAACCAATGCCAATAATCCCTAGCGGTTCGCCTGAACCAGTCTGAACTGGTTGGATTTCACCCCTGGCCTAACAAGAAAACTTTATCCCATGATGCTGGAGCCATATTCAGCCAGCTATTGAATAAACTATGCACATGCACACACACATATACACACTTTTTATTTTAACTTTTAAACAAGAAGACAAAAGCTGACACAAACTAAAGGAAAGTAAGGAGGCAAAAAAAGGAAAGAAGTTAAAAGAAAAAGCAATAAGTATAAGAAAAGAAAAATATTGAAGAAAAATATACATATACACATATATGTGTGTGTGTATACATACACACACACGTACATAGCAATAGCAATAGCAGTTAGACTTATACCGCTTCACAGTGCTTTGTAGCCCTCTCTAAGCAGTTTACAGAATCAGCATATTGCCCCCAACAATCTGGGTTCTCATTTTACCTCATTTGGAAGGATGGAAGGCTGAGTCAACCTTGAGTCTGGTGAGCCAAATAGCAGGCAGCCAGCAGGCAGCAGAAGTAGCCTGCAGTACTGCACTCTAACCACTGCACCACCGCGCGCGCACACACACACACACACACACAATATTTCTGGCCTTTATGTTCCACATTGACTCCGGTTTCTCCTTGTACTTCTCCAGTTTCTCATATTCTATATATAAGGACCATAGTTGTCCCAGTGATGATAGAACCACTTGGGGCTGTGATTCCTAAACTGTGCAAGTGGCTCCAACAGATTCCAGGAACAACATCAGAGCTCCCTGTCCAGAAGAGTGCAGTGCAAGGAATAGCTGAGATACTGCACAGAATCTTAAACTCCAAGGCCTCTGGTAGAGGAACCGAGATTTAGGAAGACATATGCCACGTATAAGCATGACAGGGGAATTTTGATATAAAGAGAAAATGCAGTACTGTACATACGGTATTTTTCAGAGTATAAAACACACTTTTCCCCCCATAAAAGAGGGTGAAAATTTGGGTGCGTCTTATACACCGAATGTAGCCCTGCCCACCCACTGGCCCCCAGGAAAATAGGGTGCACAGAGGCGGCAATAGGCTATAGCAATCCCTGTAGCCTGAAACAGCTGATCTTCGGGAAGCCGATCCAACCGACAATCAGCTGCTTGTGCTAATCAGGCTGTACTGAAGCTGAAATTGAAACGGGCTGCTTGCTGCAAGGAGGCAAATTGCTGGGAGGCAGAGGCAGATTTTTTCCCCTTGTTTTCCTCCCCATAAAAGGTAGGTGCGTCTTACAGTCCGGAGCATTTTATACTCCGAAAAATATGGTACATACATACATCTCTTTCTCTAAAGTTACATCATATTGCTCTTCTTTCTATAATCTATCTTGTCTAATCATGAAAACCATAAATTGCAACTTCATTTTTTTCATTTTGCTACAAAAAATCCAAAAGAAGCTTCCAGTCACCAATAAAAATATAGATAATGTCTTTTCTCTAATTAAGCAAGTTATATTTAATCCTAATATTTTTCTCTTACCATATAAATTCAGATATAGATATTTGCCATTGTTTAAATGGTACATCTGATGTCAAAACACATACATTGTCTGTAGAAAAAAATATCATTTTGGGCAAAAAAAAAATCACCTTATTACACAAATTCTCTCCAACAGTGACAGCTTTAATTTCTCCCATCTTAATATGTCGTTCTTAATTTCAGTCCTTGTCTTAATATAATTATTTTGAAAAGGCTTACAATTCATATTTGCCACAGTAACACTCAAATGTTTTACTTTTTTCTCACTCTTAAAACACGTTTTCTCCATCAGTTCTAATTAATCTTATGGTTTCATGTTAATGAAATGATTAACTATTTGTTAATATTTTTGTCTTCTGTTTATTCATCTTAAATTTGCTAATATACGAAATTCCTTTGATTTTTCCCATTAATGCTTCTACTCCCTCTAGTGGATCTTCTAGAATTAACATCAGGACATTCACAAATGACCTTAATTTATAAATTTCAAGCTACATTAAAATTCTTAGATGCAGAGAAGGCGCTTTGATGATTTGTATTTGTTGTTGTTTAAAGTTCTGGAACACATGAACTTTATTAAATAGGTAAAATTGATTTATACACCTTAGAAATTACAAATAATTGTTAATGGAAAACTAACAAAATCTTGATAGGGGACAAGACAGTATATCCACTAGCTCCAATTTTGTTCATTTGGGTTCTTGAAGTATTGAATAGAGATACAGGTACTGATGATCACAACTGAGCTCAAAATTTCTGTAGCTAAGCAAGATAATAGTTAAACGAGTTTGCCCCATTTTACAACCTTTCTTGCCACCGTTGTTAAGTGGATTACTGCAATTGTTAAGTTAGTAACACGGTTGTAAAGTGAATCTGGCTTTCCCATTGACCTTGCTTGTCAGAAGATCGCAATAACTGATCACATGACCCCGGGACACTGCAACTGTCATAAATATGAACCGGTTGCCAAGCATCTGAATTTTGATCATATGACTATGGAACTTTTGCGATGGTCGTAGGTGGAAAAAACATACATCACTTTTTTCAGTGCCGCTCTAACTTTGAACAGTCACTAAACGAATGATTGTAAGTGGAGGGCTGCCCTTATAAGGCAAGGTCAGAAAATTATGGGGGTTATGATCAGTGATGAAAATAAAGGTAAGTAAAGCTCAGGGGCAGGTGGGCGGGCCCAGCTGATCGCCGTGTCAGTGTTCCAGGACCCCACCCCCCAGCTCCAAGTAAAGACTCTGAAGCAAGCACTTTCAAGGTTCTATTTACTAGAATAGGTAAACTGGCACATCTGGGAAAACCCGAATCTGAGAGGTCTGGATTTTCCCTCAGTAAATCATAACCTCCAAAACCATCCCCTCGGTCCTCAATCGATCACATGCTTCAATCAACCACCGTCCCATCTCGAGACATCACTCTGACCACTCCTTCTCCAGATGCAGGATCGCCCTGACCTTGACCGACAGGAAGAATGCTATTATGTCTACGGACAACCTGTCTACTAAATCCCTCCTCCTACTTTCCCACACACAAGAAGGTGGCAGCATGGAAGCTTCCGGCCTAATATGGCTTCCAAAGCTGACACGTTGGAGTTACCGGTTCACCCGAACCAGTCTGAACCGGTAAAATCCCACCTCTGGTTCTGATTAAAAAAGAAACCTATGAGTGTATTTTCTAAACATAGTTTGATTGAATATCCTCTCCAAGGCTGTACTTATGTGCCATTAAGATTTTTTCAATGACGACTTTGAATCCCAGCAACATTCAAATCTACATTAATCTATTATTTTCTTATATTGCAATACTATACTAGAGTTGGATCTAATGGAATAAGCCTGTTATTCATCTGAAAAGCAGAATTATTCTCAATGTCACATAGATAGAGACATTGAGTATATGAGCAAGGACCATGAATTTTAGAGCAAGCTGGTTGCGTTGCATTGAGCTGTGGTGGTGCAGTGGTTAGAATGCAGTAGTGCAGGCTACTTCTGCTGACTGCTGGTTGCCTGCAGTTTGGTAGTTCAAATCTTACCAGGCTCAAGGTTGACTCAGCCTTCCATCCTTCCGAGGTTGGTAAAATGAGGACCTAGATTGTTGGGGGCAATAGGCTGACTCTGTAAACCACTTAGAGAGGGCTGTAAAGCCTTGTGAATTGGTATATAAGTCTAAGTGCTATTGCTATTGCTGTTACAGGACCCTTAGTACTAAACAGCAAACATACCCACCATTCTCTGCTTTTCAGCCACATCTAAAAATCAGAGTTTTGCTACAGTTGATAAATATAAATTGGCTACTAAAGGAGTTGTTCATTCAGTGCAACATAACTGTTCTGCCCCAGCTCCGGATTTCTGAGGATATTGACACACACCAACGGTCCTTATCAAATTTATTAAGTAGCAAGAATAAACCAAAGTCCGGCAAAGGTTGGCAACCAGCCCAGAAAACAAAATACAATAAGACTTTTCCAAAAATGCTCTGATGATAATTACAAGCTGTTTCCAGCAAGAAACTTACTAACCGTGTGTGACTTAAATAGGCTAAGGGAGTAGCCAATTATCCTCAAGCCTTACTCTCGAGGAGACCTCCTCCTCCTGAGTAGCCACTCCTGCCTTTTGGCAGCCCTGCGTGCTCGAGCATTGAGAAGAGGCTCCTCCACTTCGTTTTCTCCACTTGAAGGAGCCTCTGGAGGTTCTGAAGGCCCTGGCTGAGTCTCTGCCTCTGGCACCACATCCTCTTCAGCCTCCTCGTTGTCTGACACGAGCGCCGGCTGCACCGGCTGCTGGCACACCACTACACTAGCCTCCTCGTCTTGGGATCAGCCATGATCTGCGCAGGCCACTAGTGGGCCACAACAATAACCCATTCCCATTCGTTCCAATTGCAGGTCAAATCTTTGCCTGACATATATGGATTTGGGGGTGGTGAGGGTGGAGAGACAAAAGTGGTGGAAAAATGCTCCCACAATTGCAGAGCTCAGCTTTATTGTTTTTCTAATGAGTGGGTGGGAATGATGAATGGATGTTTATGTACCTGCGGTTTGATTTCCATTTTGTTGAAATGAAAAGCTTGAGCCCTTTCAATTGTTACTTTCTGTTTAGAATAGTGGAATAGTCTTGACTTAACAACTAGCCATGGGTATTTCCAGCCCTGTGACAGCTGGGGATTCATGGGATCATAAAAAGCTGGGTTGAAAGCTGGGTCCAGCCCACAGGCTGACTGACTTTAAAATGACATCTACCTGATGTTACTGGTGTCAAACTATTTCGTCTGAGTTTGCCTATTAAAAAGCAGGCTCTGCCAGAGTGGGATGATGTTTTTGTTCTTTGAAACTGGTTTGGACTGACTGGTTTGTCTTGGCAGGGTTGCAGTTCTTCTGATGCAAATCCCCTTCCAGCCTCTCACTTTCTACGTAAGTACTTGTGGGTTATGCTTGCTTTGAAGTTCCCTTCTAGCTTTCAAAGGAGAGGTAGTGAACAGGGATGAAATGCTCCCGGTTTGGACCGAATTGGAAGATCCGGTAGCGATTGTGGCAGGTGATTCAGAGAACCGGTAGCCTGGGTGTCATTATTTCCTGCTTTTAAAAGGTAAAAAAAAAAAGGCTCCGACGATTGCGTGCCACAGCTGTGATTGTCAGAGCCTCTTTTTTACCTTTTAAAAGCATTTTTTTACAATCTATTGACCCAAATAGGTTGTAAAAAAATGCTTTAAAAAGTAAAAAAAAAAGTTGGCCACGCCCACCCAGTCACATTACACCCTCCCCACCAAGCCACACCAACAGAACCAGTAGTAACAAATTTTACATTTCACCACTGATAGTGATGCAGGACAACAATTTTGGATCCCAAAGAAGTTCCTGATGGAAACTTTCTGTGCCATTGCAATAGACTGTATGGCCTGCAGCATTGCAGAAGAACAGGTAGTAACTTTCAAAGGAAAACAGAATCAATCATCCAGCATTTCAAGAGTCATGAACTGAGTGGATTAAAAAATATAGCCACTTAGAGGTTGTTTTTTTTTTTTTTACAAAATGAAATCACTCATTTGTACATCGTATACATGTACTCAAATACTTAATCAATGTAAATTTGGAAATAATGTGTATCACAAACATATGCACAAACACACCCAAAAAAACAATGGTAACCTAGATATACAGTATAAGCATGCATATATGGCTTTTGAGTAAATGCTATACATTGGTCTACAACTTTGGAACCCTACCAATTTTCTTATGGTACTTTATTGTATATGGGCTAAGCAGCCTTTCAAAACTTGAAAATAATAGTTCTGTCATATTTTCATCTTGCATGGAGTTACCATAGCAGCGGGAACAGAACCAGAAAAAGTTCTTGAAATTCTGATCATGGCAATATCCCTGTGGTGACATGCTTGACATTTGAGTGCTTTGCAACTGGTGGGTATTCACAATAATTGCAACTTCCTGTAGATTCATGGTCAATATTTGTACATTTCACAACCAGTTTCCAATAAGCAGAATCAATGGAGAAGCAGTAAAATTACAAGTTCTAATGATGTGATGACTTGCTTAATGACTGAATGGAAAGTCCACTGCAGTCATGCAATGTTTTACTTAATAACTGTGTTGCTTAGTAATGGAATTGTTGGTCCCAATTGCTAAGTGAGGACTACTTGTACTTGCATTATTTTACAGACATGAAATCATACATACATTTTTTTTCTAGACTGCAGTTGAAGAGAAAAATACAAGTATGACTGTAAATTATTGGCTAAGCAAAGAGGTTGAATGCTGAGCAATTTGCGACAGATGCTGGGAAATGGATGAAATGCATTCTTCCTTGGAGCAAGTGATAGTATCTGCCATTATTTTGTAAAACAAGAAATGACTATTTTTTTCTTATTATTATTTCCAGAAACATCCTTTGGGGATGAAGAATATAACAGAAAATAGTTTATTTGCATATGTTTTATGGAGATTTATTAATGACCCAACCACTTCACTGGACTGGATCATCCAATTTCCAATGGTCAAGGTAATCCTGAAATTTACATTCTTTACTATAGAGTTGTAGAGCTTGGGATCCTGCAGAGATTATTGGGCTCTAATCCCCATCAACCTCAGCCTGCTTGAACAGAAAAGACAGACTGGTAATCCGCAACATGTAGAATAGGAATCCCCAGCCTCCAGGCTATGGACCAGTACTGATCTATGGCCTGTTAGAAACCCAGCCGCGCAAGTGAACAAAACTTCATCTGCATCTGTGTGGGATCTAGGTGGCACATGAAACCATCCCACACACCTACCTCATCCGTGGAAAAATTGCTTTCCATGAAATCTGTCTCTGGTTTCAAAAACTGCTGATATAGAGAACTGCAGATTTCCCATATTTACTGTACAATGCAGCTGTTGAACCAGTGGTGGGTTGCTCCGGGTTCGGTCGAAAAAATGCTTTTAAAAGTAAAAAAAAAAAAGCCTCTGATGATTGTGTGGCTCAGCTGGGATCATCAGAGGCTTTTAAAAGCATTTTTTTCTGCAATCTCTTTGGCCGAAGAGGTTGTAGAAAAAAAAAAGCCTTTAAAAGCCTCTGGGGATCCCAGCTGAGTTGCCTGATTGTCAGAGGCTTCTAAAAGCATTTTTTTCTGCAATCCCTTAAGGTTGTAGAAAAAATGCTTTTAAAAGTAAAAAAAAAAAGTTGGCCATGCCCACCCAGTCACATTACCCCCCCACCAAGCCACACCCACAAAATAAGCCACGCCCACAGAATCGGTAGTAAAAAAAATTAGAACCCACCCCTGTGTTGAACCCAATGGAATCTTTCTAGGAGACAGATGATTTGTGTAGCTATATATCCTTCTAATGTCTGTGTCTGTAGACCAGGGGTCCTCAATCCCTGGGCCGTTCAGAAATGGGTGACACAAGTGGGGGACAAGCACTTGTACATATGCACAGCTCCACTTGTGTGAGCAGTGGGCACTTGCATGTGAAGCTCCATTTGTGGGAGCAGTGGGCGCTTACACAAATGAAGATGTGCACGCTCGTGCACTTGCCACTCACACAGAGCCATCCCCTGTTCCCCCCCCCTCGCCAGTCCACCAAACCGGAAAGGTTGGGGACCACTGCTGTAGACCACATGTGATTACCCTCTGAGCTGTAGAAAACTCCTTTCTATTTAACATCAGCAATGATTAATTGTCAATGAAAAGAAAGAAGAGAAAAAGGCATTCTCAAACCAAACTGTTCACAGTTGTGGACAGTAAAAAGGTTTCCAAAATACTGTAAGGTCCCAAAATGTACTTGAGTCACCAAAATGCCAAAGAGAGAGACTCAAGACCAGGCTTGCAAAAAGAAGCAGATTTTATTTATTTATTTTATTTATAATAAAATCTTATTATAAAAACAAATAGCTGGGTAAAACCGTTCCAAACACATACAAAAGAGACATGTATATGGAAAGGCCACACCTTCAGAGAAGATCTGACCCCTTTTATACTGTTAAAACACCAGTTAAATCACCAATTCTGGCCTCCTAATTTATGCTTATGTATTCCTTGTTGCCTTGCAAAGGAATAGAAGCCTTCCAATTAGCATTATCTCTTCCTTGAGCATTCCTTTATTCTCCATTCAGCCCCCTGGTGCTGCAGGGAAGGGAGCTTACACAGATCAAAGGTGTAAGTTAGGGTGAAGTGTAAGTTATCCCCCGGATGATATATGTAGTTCAGGGGTGGGTTCTAAAATTTTTTACTACCGGTTTTGTGGGCGTTGCTTATTTTGTGGGCGTGGCTTGGTGGGGGTAATGTGACTGGGTGAACATGGCCAACATTTTTTCTTTTCTTTTCTTTTTTTACTTTTAAAAGCATTTTTTCTACAACCTTAAGAGGTTGCAGAAAAAAAATGCTTTTAAAAGCCTCTGACGATCAGGCAACTCAGCTGGGATGCCAGAGGCTTTTAAAGGCATTTTTTTTCCTACAACCTCTTTGGCTGAAGAGGTTGCAGAAAAAAATGCTTTTAAAAGCCTCTGGCGATCCCAGCTGAGCCGTGCGATCATCAGAGGCTTTTTTTTTTTTTACTTTTAAAAGCATTTTTTCAGCTGAAGAGGCTTTTAAAAGTTAAAAAAAGCCTCTGATGAGGTGGGCGGGGTAAGCGAGCGGCGACCGGGCCGGTGACCAGTTCGGGGGCGTGGCCAGCCAATGTTATTACCGGTTTACAGAGGCCTAATAACAGTATATGTTTGTTACAGGAAGTTAGTTACAGGAGATACAAATATAAAGGCATAATATATATGTGATACAAATACAAAGGCATAATACATCATATATGTGCAGAGGTGGGTTGCAGCAGATTCTGACCAGTTCTGGAGAACCGGTAGCAGAAATTTTGAGTAGTTCGGAGAACCGGTAGTAAAAATTCTGACTGGTCCCACCCCCATCTATTCTCTGCCTCCAAAGTCCCAGCTGATCGGGAAGAAATAGGGATTTTGCAGTAATCTTCCCCCTGGAGTGGGGAGGGAATGGAGATTTTACAGTATCTTACCCCTGCCACACCCACCAAGCCACGTCCACCAAGCCATGCCACGCCCACCAGGCCACACCCACGGAACTGGTAGTAAAAATTTTTGAAACCCACCACTGTATGTGTGTTATACAAATACAAAGGCATAATATGTGTTACAGGAAACTAATGGTTACAGAATAAGAAATTTCTACTAATTCTAGTATACCAGCATATTATATTCTATTATTATTTATTATACCTTTATTACCGTTTCCCTTCAATACTGTTGTTCTCTTCCTAGGAAGACTTCATAAAAAATCATTAGTAAATAACTTGTACTTACCACATTTAGAAAAGAATGACAGGACTTTCAAATACATGCACCTAAATAAATCCTTGTGGCCACTTTAAGATTAGCTTGGCATCGCCAAAAAACATTTAATGACATAGATGATGCAATGGCTAACCTTTCATGTTATGGGAAATGAATAAAACTTATAATAATTGTTCTGCTGCCTCACATATTGAGCACTGCTTGTTCTGTTTTCCCTTTTCAGCAGAGAGAGAGATGTTGGTTTTTCACAGGAGCCTATTAAACATATATGTTTAAAACATAATTTTGTTGATGCTTTGAATGTACCATGTCAAATCTGTGCATGAAAGCCAACCTCTTTTCAGAAGCTATAATCCTGCTCTCTTCCTATGCAGGCCACTGTGCGAGCCCTGGACACAGTTACAGATTTCTTGCTGAAACAGACTGGCGAAGATGTACAAATCACCGAATTTATGCTACTAGGCTCATCCAAGGTATCTGAGAGGGCCGAGGCCTAAGTAAGACGGCTGGATAGTATGCTCTCCTTTCACCCTCTGGGGGACCCCATCCCTTTTATTCCCCCATCCCCCTTTGTCTTCTCTGCTTTTAATTCCTCTTTGGTAGAGGTAGTAGAACTTGGCTGCAAAAATTCTGCTAAACTCCAAATGACAACAGTTTTCTGTACCTGCTAGTTACATCTAGTGGTTGCCTGGACTTTTGCAGACCAAGTGTGATAATCCATGCAAGTTTGATTTGTCTGGCATCCAAGAGTCCACATAATGGTGAGCACTGGTGGCACAGTGGTTACAATGCAGCATTGGAAGCTGACTCTGCCCACAGCCTAGTGTTTGATCCTGGAGAACTCAAGGTTGACTCAGCCTTCCATCCTTCCAGCATCAGTAAAATGAGGACCTAGATTGTTGGAGGTAATATACTGACATTTGTAAACCATCCAGAGACTGCTATAAAGCACTATGGGACAGTATATAAATCTAACTGCTATTGCTACTGCTACTGTTGTTGTTATTGCATTTGCTGTTGCTATTGCTATTGCTATTGCTATTGCTATTGCTATTGCTATTGCTATTGCTATTGCTATTGCTTGAAGGTGGGGGAAAAGCGAAGGAGACAAAATTGAGTCCTAAGTTGTTTCCAAATCTTTCTTCATTCTCTGATGGCTGCCAGCACAAATTTTGAAGTTTACAACCAAGATAGCTGTATAATAGTATAAAAGCCAAACAATTCTACATATATGTTTATGAGAGAAATGTGTATAGATCTACAATTCATCTTTAATGTGATAGAGTGACGGTGTGGTTTATTGTAGGTCATGTGGTTATAATCAACAAAAAAGCACTCCTTACCACTGTCTCTCTTCATTAAAGTATTCAAAAGGCTATCCATCCCAGAAAAATTCCTGAGTTTATTTCCAGCAGCTCCTCTCCATTTTTCTATCTCCCCCTCTTAGCGTGGATGGATTGCTTGGCTGACTGCAGCCATTGACAAGCGTGTGGTGTCATTTGTCTCAGTCGTTATGGATGTCCTGAATTTTGTTGAGGTGAGTGTTTTCAGATTCAGTACAGTATACACCTGTACTTTGTGTATACTGGGTTGGATTGTGACAGGAGAAATCTTCTGTTCCTCCAAATTTTTCTAAAGGAGCTTCTTAACTTTTTGAACATAATTATAAAGCTAAACAGCTTAAAATACATAATCAAAGCCTGATGGGTCTCACACATTAATTGGGTGACTTCAGTTATTGGAAATGAAAATTAGGTTATGGTGGAAGAGGGGTGAGCAGCCTATTTTAGAAGTTCTGGAGTCTCACAATGGTCCTCACCAGCACAGCAAGTGGGAAAGCACTGGAAAAGTTGGAGTCCAAAATAATGGATGGAACCAAGCTGCCATTGCTAGCTCTCATTTTAATGGGGGAAAATATCCTGTCCTGTCAGAGCTACTCTCAGATCAATGCCAGTGCTTCCCTATCTGCAGGTTATTTCTCCATTCAGTTCAAATTGAGTTGAGATATAAATCTAAATCTCTGCACTTGAACACGTAGATTTACAAATTATTGCATAAACTGGGAGGGGCGTTTTGTTTCAAGGTTTGAGATGATTAAATACAAGTTGGAAAGTTCTAAGTGTCTTTCCCAAAAGACAGCTACTGTGCAGATTTTTTTCCCAGTAGTTTCTATGGCAACCACTACCAGTCTCCTCCCAACATCCTAATATAATAGTAATTGAAGGACTTATAGAAAATACAAAATGACTGCCAGAAAGAAAACAAAAATTTAAAACTTTTCCATTTGGGTTTTTTTAAGGAGAAGTACAGTTAGACTGTCCTAAAAATAATTGGAAGTATCGCCTTTATGATCCCTAGAAAAGTTAGTGAAATTGTCATCTCTGTTACTTCATTCAGAATAAAAAAAATTGAAAATGAGCATTTGCTGCAAAGCAGAGATATTATCTGATGTGTCACTAAAAAAATAGATGCAGTTTCCAAAAATCCTAACTAAACTGTCCCTTGAAGAAGCTATCTCTTTCTGTGTTGCAACACTTGTATCTGTGTACCAGTGGTGGGTTGCTACTGGTTGCCCCAGGTGAATCGGTAGCGGGAGGCTCCGCCCACCTGCCCAGACACTTCTGCGCAGGCGCAGAAGCGTGAGAGAGAGCGAGAGTACACACGTGCACATGAGCGAACCGGTAGCAAACTAAATTGAAACCCACTACTGCTGTGTACCCCATCTAGTTCATAGCAAATACGATGTCCCCTGAGAATTTCAGAGAGTTGCAATTCTCACAAATGGAGGGCACAAGGTTGGGAAAAGCTGACATTCATGCTACAATGTGGTTTGAACCCAGTATTACTGACAGGAGTAATAGGAGCCAAACTATGTCTAATGCTTGCAGGATTGGTCTGCCCATGTGATTGGGGAGTCAGCTACTTAAAAATCTAATGCCAACAACCTAGCATTTTGTCACGCTTCCCTTCATTGCACCAAAAAATCACAGCTATAACCTTCTGCAGAATTTACATCACCAGTACAGATCATATTGTGGCTGGAGTTTTGCACTGGCACCTTTCTACTACATCAATATTACTCAACAGATTGATCATCCCCGTTTTGAACTTATTGCTTCAAATATCGACCCTTTGAGTAAGTACACACCACTGAAGATGAAATGAGTGGGTTGAATTAATAAAGGACTAGATCATAGGACTGTGGTATTTAACAGGATACAGATGGATTTAGGGAGATGCAGAGTATGTGAAAGAAACTTGAGACATACATTGATGGGCTTTGAGAACAACCTTGAGGAACAGGAGGAAGAGCTGCAGTCAATGCAATGGTCAGATAAGAGAAATCTCAGCTCAAAGGAGGAATAGAATTTGAGAAAATGTCTCAGACCAGACTTTCCCTAATTCTCTTTAGGATAAAGGCAGGGAGGGGAAGATACAACCAGAGTTTCTAGGTTCTGTTACTTTGACCCTCTACTTTGATGTCCAATCTGTCTTGAAGGGCTGACACATACTTAAGGTGTGGGTGAGGGCAGTGGTGGGTTGCTCCCGGTTTGGACCGGTTCTAGAACTGGTAGTAAAACTGGTGGGAGGCTCCGCCTACTGACCCCAATGTCATCAGAATGCTTCTGCGCATGCGCAGAAGAGCTCATGAGCATGCGAGCAAAGCGAGTGTGGGTGCGCGGCCCCATTGCGAACTGGTAGTAAAGGTAGGTAGAACCAACCCCTAGGTGAGGGGACAAATTAAATATCAAAAGCAGTTCTATTCTCTATCCTCTGAACAATTACCCCTATCCTATTTTGCTTTCTGCTCAACTTGAGGCAAGGTTGAGATTCACACACCTTCCTTTTTTTTTTCTTCTGTTCCCAGAATATAATGAGTATTATATAAACAAAGCGAAGTACCTACTTGTGGCATCAGGAGATGAAATGGGCCCGCCTGACAATTCTTATTATTATTTTGATCAGCTAACAGGAAAGAAATATCTCCGGTGAGTTGATCCATAGTAGAATGATCTCTGGTGTAGAGGCTCTTGGGTTCCATTTTTGGAAGAGTGGAGTGGAGCAATAACCAGTGCTCAGTGGGAGTTTGAATTAATGAGTTGCAAATAAATTGTACAAAAAGAGTGCATCTGAGGGATTTTATTACAATTACAACTTAACTCTTGCAACAACTATACTGATAGCATAGGTTAGTGTTCCAGGGGTGTCAAACTCGATTTCATTGAGGCTGCATCAGGTTTGACCTCGGGGCTCCCGGGTGGGCGTGGCCAGGGTGGGTGTGTCCAGCTTGAAGTCACTTGTGTCGGGGGCGCCTGTGGTGGACTGAGGGCTCTGCCAGTGAAAAATGGCTCCTGAGCTCTGTTTTCAGCCGTGACAGCGTCCTGCAACCCTCTGCCAGCAAAAACGGAGCTTGGGAGGGAGCACTGCCCTCGCGAGCTCTGTTTTCAGCCACGACAGCCTCCTGCAACCTTCTGCCAGCACCATGGGCCGATTCTTTGCTGTTTCCAGGGCAGCCCCATGGGCCAGATCTAAGCACCCTACAGGCCAGATCTGGCCCGCGGGCCTTGAGTCTAACACCTCTGGGTTAGACAGTCACTTTCAATTTAAAATGAGGGGAAAAAATTGTGCTGGGCAAAATCCAAGCTCTCCTTCGGATATGTAAATCAATGAATGAGTTTAATTAGTCACTGTAGAGTTTAATGAGAGGCAGTGGAGGACAACAATCAGACTTTACATGTAATAATGACAAGCTTGCCTTATTTGAAAATTGCCTCAAATATAGCTTGAATTTCAATTCTCTGATAATGTTTGTAGGTTTATTGGATTTTGCCGATTGATGGGTAATATCAATCCTATGTAATATCCAAGGATCACTAAATAGCCTCCTTGGTCAGGGTAGAGGAGAAATGGCATTTTGTTTGGGAGCAGAAAAATAACCCAGTACTGCAGCTTATTTTAACACCACAGCGGGATTTGTTTACTTTGTGTGCCAATGGCAAAATTAACTAGGCAACTGTGCAAAGTTGTTTCAAAGCGAACTCTTACTGTTCAAGCGATGCCTGCATTTCACTCCATTTTCACCCTGATCATTTACAGGATCATCCCAAATATGAACCATGCCTTAGCTTTCTATGAAGACAGTATTGGAGTTCCAACTGCCACTTTTTACCTTATCACCATGCAGAATCAACAGCATCCTCAGGTCCACTGGAACAGGACTGTGGTGAGAGACATATTACTCACTACAGCCAAAAACAGTTGATCTACTACGTTAAAATATGAGCTCTTTTGAGTTCCACAAAAGAGCATTTTCAACAAACAATACTCCTTATTATGGTACCTTAGTATATCCAATAGGATGGTCAATGAGAGCACCAACCTGGAACCCTCCAGATGGAGTGGTTGGGAATTCTAAGAGTTTCAGTCATAATACCTCTGGTGGACACTTCTTGGGAAATCTTTGTTATGTTACTCATTACTTCTAAGTACAGTGTTTAAATTATTTTGAGCAAACATTAGTCACAGCAAACCAATATAGACTGGACTCCCAATCCAATTCTGAGTGAGAAAAAGGAACTTCCCATTCTTTGAGAAGTGGGGTGATGAGGGTCGGTGGGATAACTGGGGTTGGTGGGAGAAGGAGGGCTGGAGGATTAAGTTACCAAAATATGCTTGTTCCACAGACCACCTGTATATAAAGCTATTTAACTGATGGCCCATCATATCTTGACTTCATCAGGTCATAATAGAGGATGATAAGGGTTGACTTCCAAATACATCAGGACAACAGCTAATTGAAGAAGGCAGCATTAATGACATAGTCATCCAAGATTTGATTTATGTACCAACAGTGTTTTTTGTTTCCACTTAGGGAAAAGGAAAACAACACTCAAAGAACACCTGCCTTCATTTCTTTCTCATTGATCCTTCCTCTTTTTCTAGAAAAATACTGGAGGAGCTATTTACTTTTCCACAGACCAGGAGCCTTCATTGATTTATGCTTACTATGCTAACACTAATGATGATACAAGGTATTGGGGCCCTATACATTTATTTTTTCCATTCTCTGCCCCTTTTTGAAAGTTGATTTTGCAAAACCAAATGACATATTTTTTTAAAAAAATGATATAAACCAAAAGGAAATATAGAATTAAAATGAGAAATAAACCAATTCAAAAAGGAGGAAGAAAAAAAATATTGGAGTGTACAATTTTCTCTATTTTTAACAACTCTAGGAGAGATTTCAGGATGCACATATTATCTGGACAAGAAGCTAAAAGGAATCCTATTAAATGGAAACGTGTTAAGGTGAAGAAAGTGGTGAGTAGACATTCATTCATTCTTCATTCATTCATTCATTCATTCATTCATTCATTCATTCATTAACTCTGGTGGGAAAAAATAAAGCCATCCACTTAATACCAAGTATACCCAGGTGTATAAGATATGCATGGGAAATTTATGGATGTTTAAATATTGCTATTACCCTACAATTCCCAACATATCTCACTATTGAGTGTCTAGCTGAACCGTTCCTTCATCTGTCATCTCTGAAGAAGCGTTAGCATATTGTAACTCATCAGATAGAGTGGCTATCCAGATCTCACTGTGGGCCAGCTCCTTGGTTGTCCTGTCAGGCCATTTTCAATGCAGCAAAACATTTGTTTTTATCTGCTTTCCTTTCCTTTCTCAATATATGTTTCAGCCCCCCAGACTGCACATTCAGGCTCAATCTGGCCAAAACTAACAAAAACTCAAAAAAGCCATTATCCGTCTCTGTAAATAATACTCATTCAGATACATCAGAGGTTTGATATCTTGTTTCCTCGTGGATGACTTCAACTTTCTAAACAGTAACCAGCTATTTCTTCTCTTTTTCTTCCTTGGAAAGAGTACAAATGTTTATAAGAAGGAAATCAAAAATCCAGACAAAGGATGGACAGGATTCTTCATTGAGGTAAATATTCAGTTTTGCAGATAACGTTTTCATTGGTTGGGGGAGCAGTCAAGGTTAAAGACTGGGCTTCCTCCACTTCTGGGTATTCAAGACTTTTTACCTGAATAATCAGCTTTTATAAAGCTGATCTTGGGATAGGGTGGGGGGGGAACCAAATGTTTTAAAAATAGGTCACATCCCTGCCCCTGCATGCAAAAATTGTTTCACATTTGCAAATGAAGCATGCTTTAATTAGGATCCTGGCAGGGGTGGGCTTCAAAAATTTTAGCAAGGGATTCTCTGCCAGGTTGCTGGGTGGGCGTGGCCATAGTAGGCGTGGCCTAGTCAGTCTCCTGCACCATGGGGGGGCGTTTTTGCCCTCCCCAGGCTCCAGAGGCTTTCTTCGAACCTTATGATAATTGTATATCATGTTTTATAAAATTTACCAAATTTCATGGGAGTCATGGGTCCCAGTTTTTGGACACATTCTGTAAGTTAGCCCACTTGAAATGTCTTGGCAGAAAAAGTGTTGATCTATGATGTACCAGTTTATCCAGTTAAAGGTTACAGATATGAGAGTTTTAGAAGCATATGGATTGTTATGTACTTGTCAGAGAAAGATTTGCGCTTTAGCTGCCAGGTCTGATCACATGTTTTGGAAATCTGGCTGGAATGATTCCTCCTCTTTTTGCTACATCTGCGATTAGAGTCTTGATGGATATTGAGCTGCCTGTCTTGAACCACCAATCAATCAGCAATTTAATCAAGCAAGTCCCCCCCCCCCCCCGTTCTTAAAACTACCATTTGGACTACTTCGGGCTCTTTCAGAAGTGTGTCAAAAGCTGTGTTTAAAAATAACTTGAAATATAGTTGACAGGCAGAGGGCGGGGGGCGGGGGGGCACAGTGGTTGTGGAGTGGGAGCAATCAGTCCTGCAGTCAGCTCTTTGTTGGACTACTTTACTGGGCACACTTGATCTTAGCTGTAAGACCAACAAGTAACTGGGGCTTTTTAAAACCCCTTTTCTAAAAGGATGCTAAATCCATATTCAGAAGCAACCAGAACATGGGTTTAGCACTTGTTTAGAACACCACTAAGCTTGTATTTAACAGTAGACAGAAATACAGCTTACAGCCATTAGCCACTTGACTCCTCCTCCCACACCTTGTAAATTGACTGCTAGGACTGGAAGAGGTCAGAATCATCTGAGAGTCTTATCCCTTTACTTCCCAGGTGCTTTACCTGTGGTTGATCTATGGAATCAGGAGAAATTTCTCCTGCTTTACCAGGTGATCCTTGTTCAGCTCATACATCAACATCCTCAGTAACAGAATGTAGATACCTCCCCATCATCTATCAAAAATAAATTCCTTTCCTAGAGGCAACCCGTCTTAGAGTGAGGAATTACGTTAATAATTCTTTCGAATTAGTAATTCTTACACTAAAGTGAGAGCCAGCTTGATCTAGTGCAGGGGTCAGCAACCCGCGGCTCTGGAGCCACATGTGGCTCTTTCATCCCTCTGCTGCGGCTTACAACTGCCAGTGAGCAACACTCACCGACCCAACCATGGATAAATCCAAGAAAAGAAAAGTTTCAGAAGAAAACAGAATCTTTAATTCAACTATATATGCTAATTTTGTGGTTGCTCAGGAAATAATCAGGCACATGAAGAATTTTGTGGCTTCCGGTATTTTCTTTTCTGTGGGAAACAGGTCCAAATGGCTGAGTGTTTAAGATTGCCGACCCCTGATCTAGTGATTAGGACACCAGGCTAGAAAGCAGGACTCCATGAGTTCTAGCCCCGCCTTAGCCATCAAAGCCAACTGAGCAACTTTGGGCCAGTCACTCTCAGTGCAAACCATCTTGCAGAATTGTTCTTGTGGCATAAATAGGAGGAGGAAAGTGTGTAGGATATGTTCACCGCCTTGAGTTATTTGTATAAATAATAAAGGACAGGATTCAAATAAATAAATGAAGTTACCTGGAAGGTAATACTCAGTGGAAAAACCAATTTGCTTAATTTGTGCTGTGATAAATCTGTAAGGGCAATACTACTTTCCAACCAGAAGAGCAGAGGATATTATATTGCAGCATCCTTCTCTACTGACTCAAAAATGGACAGACGCATGTTAATATAGTTGACCAGCTATGCCCTTTAATGCCTCCTCACCATCTTCATGAGCAATATAAATTGAGGAATAAGGAACTGTTTGGCACAGCATTCTTTTGCACCTTTTTCTGAAGCAGGGCTTTAAAGAATATGATTCCATTACAGGCTACATATTCCGGCTTTGAGGATTCCAGCGAAAAATTAATAATAACATCCGAATTTCACATAATCCCAGAAACCTTTCCATGTGAGGACTGCGTCGGAGAAGGGTGCTATAGCAAACTGGTCTGAGAACATTCAACTAAAATGGAAGATGCCTTTGGATGATCAATAAGACGACTCAGAAAAACGGTAATCATCCAATTGCTGGCATAATTTAGAAGAGGGAATGGGCAGTGTGTCCTTTCAGATACTGCTGGGTCAGTAATCTTCAGCAATCTCTAGAACACGGCTTCCCCATCTTTAGCATAGGTGGGTCTGACTCACATATTTTGCATAAAGTAAGCTATTTTCAAGGAATTGTCTGTGAATCATAGTGGTAACAAACATTAATGAGTAGATATAGTTGCCTTCAAATGATTTTTTTGTTTTGTCATGGTTTCTCCACAATTTTCTACTCTTGCTTAATAAAATCGTACTCTGCATCACATCTGGCTAATTGGAATTAATGTACATTTAATATATGCTTGTGATTACAAAGGGTTTGAGGTTCTGCAAAATGTTTGGCAATCTGGAAGAAAAAAGGTTGGGTTGATCTCGATCTCTGTGTGAAGAATCTTTTGAGAACAGGGCAGAATTGAGGCACTCATTACCTTTGTTATATATCACAGAGGAACTGTGATAAACATATCACACTTTATATACAGAGGGTGTGTATAGCATTAATTCTTAAATCACGTTTAAGAGCAGTTGGAGAAAAACAGACCCCCAACAATCTTCAGAATGCATTTGCATTTATCAACAGGTTTTCCTAAAACTGTTGTCCAATGTATTGGTGCCACCACTAGTTAGTAAATGCCCTCCATTAAGTAGTTAGTAGCTGCACCAACATATTGCACCTGCAAACAATTAAAGGTGGCAGATGTTTCTAGTTCTCAGATGACAGAAATCTATCATCATTCTTACTATTCTCTGTAGACTCCTTAGAGGAAAGCTGGCAGATGCAAGAATCTCAAATAAAAATATAAAAGCAGGTTATAGCACTTTTATCTTTACAAGGAGCTATAATATATCCCCAAACTTGTTCGGGGAGAAGGAAGACAGCCTGAACACTACAGAGACATAATAGCATGAAGTCTCAGAAATTTCCTGGATACCATCTGAACTTTTAATTCTTCCCTTGCAAGCTACTTACTGTATAAGAAGCATGTTGTCTGCTCCATCTTCTAAATTTTCATTGTGTCAGTTGGTAAGCAGCTTTGCAGCTGCAGCCCTACATTCACACAATTTGCTCAATGTTGATTTATTTAGAAGTTTATTATTGCAGCTCAAACTTCAGCTCTGGATCTGTCACATGGGAGCCCCCTGGTGATCAAACATAGTCATCACTGAAGGACTCGCGTCTTGCCCTTGTGGAAAGTTCCAATGGATCCTTCTGAGTTTTGGTGAGGGGTGAAAAATCACTTCTGAGATCATGCATTTTATTTATTTTTGCTTTGGTGGGTAACCTGTGCTCTCATTGAAAGGAGTTCACCATCATCTCTTCTCACTTCCTGTACAGTTTGAATCAATACAACCATTCCCCTTGACCCAGTTGTCAAATTACACTTTCTAGACATGATTTCTTTGTGAATACTAAAGGCCATTTCACAAAAAATACTGAATTCCAGGTAGGCAATTCTCATTCTAAACAGGGTCTAAGAATAGTAGAGTGACAATTCAAAAATCATACTTTGCTGCCATCTTCAGGTAATCAACCAGGCAGCACGAGTTTCAAAAAGTACATTTGAGGAAATACACGATACACCCGCACACTTATTTCCTGAGTGTCTTTAATAAACAAAGGCCCCGTAACTTGTATCAGGTAACTACAAAACTAAGCAGCTTCAAGTTCTGACTGGCAGTGACTGTAAAAGGGAGCTAATCACCATTAGACATTTCTTTTCCATTTTGCCAGTGGAAATAATAATGTGAATGTAATTTACCTGCATGCTTGCAAGAGAAAACAAGAAATAGCGCTGTAGTGATTCACACACCTTTGTATGCATAGGTAATGAATGAGAGGTTTGGATTTTGGTGAAGAGTTAAAAAAAAAACACTCCCAAAACCATACAATAGACCTGTTTGTTTTGGTGGGTCTGCTTAGCGATACTTATCACAGTGAGTATCTGAGATTTCATCCCTGGCCAACTCCTGCACTGAAACCAGGGACAGCGGCTGCCAGAACATGTTGAGTTTTGGATAAAGTAGACTAATAATATGACTTTTTCTTTATTCTTCCTTTTCTCTCTCTCCTTTTGCTTTCCTTTCTCAAACATTTCTTTACAAATTGTAAGCAAACTAGGAAACAAATTTAGTTCACCCCCCCTCCCACCCTCATTCCTTTTAAATGATCTGGGAAATTGGAGAGGATGATGGATGTAGTTCTAACTCTGAAGAGTCACCCCTTTTCAACACCCCCCCTCCCTGTAAGTAAATTAATATTTATATTTAACTTGGCATGCCAAGTGGTATAGCATTGGCTCCTCAACTTTCTAGGTCAGGGGTGTCAAACTTAATTTCATTGAGGGCCGCATCAGGGCTGTGGTTGACCTTGGGGGAGGGGCTTACTGGGTGGGTGTGGCCAACTGGGTGGGCATGGGCAGCTTGACACCATTCCCCAAACTGCTGGCACGTTTCCTCTTTGCATTGGGTAGTCCAGGCCGAAGTCACACTGGCCCCACATTTCCTCTTCGCATTGAGTAGACCGGGCTGAAGCGACACGGGCTGGCCCCTTATATTTTCCAGGACAGTCCCGTGCGTCAGATCCAACCACATCACGGACCGGATCTGGCCGCAGACCTTGTGTTTGACACCCCTGTTCTAGGTAGCTTACAATATTGTAATGCTTCACAATTTATTCTTTAGAACCCAACCATGAGTTGAATAGATGTGCTGGACTACGACACCCAGCATTCCTAGACAGTATTGCTGATTCCCTTGCCTAGTTCTTTATAGAACCTCAGCTACTCTAGATGCTCATCTCATTTGAGAATCTATTTTGAAAGGCATCTAGGGTGGGCTAAATTTAAGATTAGGTCATGTCTGCATGCAAAAGAATCATCAACAGCTTCTTAGCTGCAATATTCTGGAAGGCAAATCTTCTCTTTGGGCAGCCTTCTCTCCCTGGTGCCCCAGCCGAAAGTCCATGCCTTCTTGTCTTAGGCTGGTGAAATCTACTTTTTTCATCTCTACAACCCAAAAGGGGTCAGAATGTGAAACAGGATGTGCCAACTCATTTTCTATACAAACATCCATTCCTAGATACCTTTCCACTTCATCCCTACTTTCTAAATTTCAGCATCCTAATTTAGTGGGCTGTTGTGAAATGCTTGAGAGTCAGAAACTCTTGATTTATTTCCAATTACCCAGAGATGATCTAGCATATTAGAGTTTCCTGTTTGCCTGCTCCAAGGATGAACACTGCACTTATTAGCTCTAAAGGGACCTGGTTATTTTATTTTCTTGGCCGAGTGGGAAACTTCCTGCTTCCATCTTGCAACTCTGCATTTTATTTAGTTAAATTACATAGAGTAGCACTGAAATGTTCTAAGACTTCAACAATTATCTTAGTTTTTTAAACACAAGATGGCAAGTAATATATAAATCCCATCATCAGACAAGTCTGCACATGTTGAAAAGCTCATTTGTGGATCAGTGGGTATACCATATTTTTAATCTCACGTAACTACTTAAAGAAAATAGACGTCTCTCAGTATAAGGTGCAAATCAGAAAGAGTTACCTCCAACACTGGACTTCATCCTGCCAACATCCTCCATAGCCATTAAGAATTGCTTAGACCCACCTCAATGTACTATTTTTTCCCCCAACAACAGGCAAAAACCTAGGATTGGCTGGCAATCACCTCATGCAAAAACATTGCTGCTGGGATTCCAAATTAATTCTATCTCATTATCCCTGTTTACCCAGCTACAAGAAGACCTCCATATGATTTTGATTTTGCAAATTCAAAGAGGCTGCTCAGATTATTTGGCCCCTAACCAGCAAGAGTCGGTTTCTTTTTTGTTCTTCTTTTAGTGCAAGACAATCCTCAGAGAACAAAATTTGCTTAATTGCCGGCAGACTATCACAAGCAGACAAAGATGAATGTGAGCCAGATGTGAGTTCAATGTTTATTTGCTGCAGGTGCTCTGTGCTAAATCACAAAGTTGTGGGAAATAAAAGTTCCAAACCAGCCCTGAAAAACAGATTCAAAACAAAACTATCACCTGTAATAGCTTTCACTCTCCCCATTTTCCCCTTGTGCTACAGCAATATGCAGGAATCCTGTCGTGTTTCATAAAAACAATCCTTAAAACAAATACAAAATAATCTCAAGGGGAAAGAAATCTGTACAGAGAGTATCTACATCTCAGATAAATAGACTGATTACAGAGGTGGGTTTGGAGGCCTGGAGAACTGTGTGAGGAATCGAGAGTTCCCCAAAACTTTGCAAGGGAAGGCAGCCTTCTTTGTGGCTCTCCTTCCCACTCACCCCCACAAACCTAGTTGCAAACATTAGCCAGCAAAGCCACCCCCTCCAAATCCCTTATCTCCAACCGCTTACTTGTGCTTCACTCAGGGTCAAGGACTATTGCTTCCACTGGCCCAGGGCAACCTCAGCTGAATTCTATCCGGGCCCCATCCCTGCCAAAAAAGAACTGCAACAGGACTGCTCAGAAAGACAACACTCAGGGTGTGTGCTTTACTCTTCCTTATTATCGGAAGTTTCCCCCCCCCATCTCCTTCTTCCTTAAACTCTGCTTTTCTGAGCCATTATTCCAGTGCTAAATAAAACAGAGGGTGGAGATTTTACAGCCAGCAGCTGAGTGGGGCAGATCCCCACAAATTGCTGGCAAAAAATCTTCCTGCAAAGCATCAATACTAATCACACAATCCCGCCTGCCCACTTCTGCAAGCCTGTGAACTGGCTCGCAGCAATAACAAGAACCACTTAAAGTAGGTGCCCTCTAGAACGAGGACAGTGGAAATCCTGGAGGATGGCAGCCTTGCCCTAGGCCACTAATCCAGGTGTTGGAGCAGACATCTTGATTGCTCAATAACTCCTAATGGTTAATTATAAAAAAAGTGAAAGAGGATCCCTGCTAATCCTGCCTAACAGACCACATGGCTGAATCGCTTTGGGAACGGAAGCCACCAATCTTGCTTGACTAACAAATAAAAAAATAAAGGCAATAGGAGGTGTCTCTGGAATCTCTAGGCTTCAAAGCTGGCATGTCTGCTCTATAGATCAATGTATACCTTTAAAGGTCCATGGTCCACTCCTGCTGCTTGGGCTTTAGAGAGTAGCAACTGCAACTTAAAATAGAGTTACATCCCCTTAGGGGTGCATACTGCGTGATGCGCTCTACCTCTCCATTAGCTCACACAATGAACAAATCAACTATGATAGCCCCAAAGACTCCAACCGCTTTCTCGTCTGGTCAC